GTCTACCTTTGTGGGTGACCTGTGACATATTTATATCTAACAAAGAGGATATAGTTATAACTCCTTTTTGGAGAGAGCCAAAGACATTCTAGTCAACCACGCAATCTCTTACATATCGCATATAAACAGCTTAAAATGTTTAAAACTAGATTTTCTCCCCAAACAGTTGTCAGTAAGCCCATGCTCTTGTAACAAAACTTGATAGGACATTATATGATTCCATTATGCTAAAAAACTCAATATTTACTTCATATATTTACAATGATTAGCAAAGATAATAAAATAGCCAATCTGGATTAATTTGAGTTATATTTAAAATGAAGCAATATAACTGTCATGCCATTGCAAACACACTGACAATTTAAAATTTCACCGACATGTCACTATGTCCTTATTACAGTACCAATTTGCAGTAACAGATAATTCTTTATTAACAGAAGAGATGGTAAAGTGGATGAGAAACATGGACAGTGCTAATTGGACCCCCCTCTTCAATCAATCTAGTTGACAACTCACACATGTGCTGGTAATCACTTTCTGTGATTCTTCATTCCATCTATTACATGATTTATTGGTAACTACTGGTAGATCATACTACATATATCACATGATATGTCGCTATCTCTGAGTGGCTTTGATCTTTTGTTGCAAGCCCAATTTTGACATTCTGTCTTGTGTCATAATGAGCAATTCTAACAAGTATATTTAAGTATCAGTATTATTGAATGGAGTAGCCATAATTGCAAATTAATAAAATAGATAAATTGCTATGAGTAATACGTAATGCTCCCTTGATAAAGGCATTTTTGCCAAAACATTGGGGGTGTTTTGGTGACTGACTCTGTCCCTGCTTCTCACTAGGTCTGGTATGCTTACTGCTATATATTTTTCTAATTTTATATCTATGTTTGTGAGGTTGGATTAGACTGGTATTTTATTTCTCTATTTTTGTATATTGAGACTCTGTTATTCATATGAGACAATTTTGGCGTTTATACATATATATTTAGAATTTTTCTGATCATTGCTGTATAGCGTGACATGATCCTATATTTTGGATCTTTGTGTTATGTGATATTCTTATAGAGTGTTACGGTACCTCCAGTAATAAATGCACAAACTGCCGTTTAGTGAATGCTCCCCGTTCGCAATAATGTGGTCTGGTAGCGTATGCCGTATAACCATGCGAACCGCCAGCTAGGGACCACTCCAACCTCCCGAACGGTACCTGTACGGCTCCTTCCCTTCACGGGCTCCAACTGCACGAATCGCCACTAGCAGCCAAACGGTAATAGTTTCCAAGCGGCAAATAATCCCAATAAGCAGTCTCTAGTCGCCGGTAATAAAATCCCCCCAATAATGAGACCAAGCTCCACTTTGAGGGTAAAACACGAACTGAGTTTACTGTGGGCTACCTGCCCGTATTTATGCAGGTCTCCCACTTGGTGGACACTCCCCTAGGGGACCAAATGGGAGACTGGAATTACAGAAGGACATGGGGACATTTCAGACATACATCCCCACAATATTCCCAGCATGCATCACAGTTTCCTCCCCTCTGCTCGGGAGATAATTAGGAAGTAATTCAATTATCTCCCAGAGCAGAGGCAAATCGCCATTTTAAATCAAAGTTACAAAACACATTAAAATACATAACTTTATAACTGCCGAATGTATTGCATTCGTATAACACATCCCCAGCCTGGATCTGAGTGCATATTATTGGCGAATAGCGCTCAGATCCCATACACACAGTTCAATCGTCATGGAGTCAAAGTCTATTACAGTTCTTCGGCATTCGATTGACTCCATGGGAAGGCTATCTGGGTTAAGTCCATTCGTGTTCTTAAATTTCCCGAACGGCCGGTATTCGTATGCTTTTGTCAATTGAGAAGGGGAGGTCGACGTTCGGTTGAAAAAGTGTCCGTTTTGAGTTCCATGAAATAATCGTCGAACACCGCTGGGCTTTCGCATAGTTAAAATGGCCACCGCCTCGTGGTCGACATACGAACGACGACCACCCGGTATTCGGTTTTAATTGAGAAGTGTCTGTGGTTAACCGCAACGTTCTAATTGGGATCAATAGGTTAACCAGCAGCACACTTCTCTTCTGGGTGGCCGTCCATTCGGTAGTTCCGTTCGACAAACAAATACATTCCCTTAATCAAGGCATACGAATGGGGAAATTCATACAAATGGCAAAACAGACGAACACAGTAACTTTAGTCCATACGGATGGGTCTGTCACATAGAGTATACCCACTTAATAAAGATTGTTTTATTACTATTGATGGTTGTGCTCCTTACTCTATTGTTAGTAATGTGTATATGGTGATATATGAATAGATTAAAATCAGATGATAACCGATGATTTAAATATGACCCAACAATTGATTTGAAAGCATTATCTAAAATATCACTTTGGTTCTGTTGTAAGACTATCCAATCCTTGTTTAAAATGTTCTAAGAATATATATGAAACAATGGAGTATGTTATAATAAGAGTACAATGAAATCTAAAGGAAGCAAGATAATTTTTAATCAGCTAATATTTTATAAAATATGAATGCATTAATTTGAAAGCCATTATACTTTATTGGACAAAGTAAAGTTATTTAAATAAAATGTAAGGGTTGCTGCAGCTTTATCTAATATCATAGAAACAATAAATGTTTTCATAATTTTTCATCCTAGACCCCATGCATACAAAACCCATTCACACCTCCTGTCACTTTCTCTCCTCCTACTTCTAGCAGCTGGTGATGTCTCTCCCAATCCAGGGCCCTTCACCTTCTCTACACACACTAAGACAACCAGAAACCCCACAAACCTCATCACAATACCCTGCCCTTTACCATCACTTACCAAAATTAATTGTGCACTCTGGAATGCCCGCTCCATCTGCAGTAATTTAAAATCAACAACCATACACGGATTTTTCATCTCAAAATCACCCACACTGCTTGCACTTACAGAGACCTGGCTGTCCCACTCTGATAGCGCTACTCCTGTCTCTTTATGTTTTGGTGTGGTACAATTCTCTCACACTCCCAGACTCAATTGTAAAGGAGGCGGCGTAGGCATCCTTCTCTCCCCTCAATGTACCTTTCAACCAATCATAACTCCTCCTGCCCTATCCTTTTCTTCTTTTGAAGTTCACACTGTCCACCTATTTAAACCCACTCCTTTAAGAATTGCTATCATCTACCGCCCCCCCCCGGTTATCCTAGACTATTCATTGAGCACTTTTCTTCCTGGCTTCCCCACTTCCTCTCATCTAGCACTCCTTCCCTTATACTTGGGGATTTCAATATCCCAATCAATAACCCCAATGGCACTGATGCCTCTCGTCTGCTCTCTGTAACCTCCTCCTTTTACCTTACGCAATGGTCCAATCTAGCAACCCATACAGCGGGAAACACTCTTGATCTTGCCTTCACCAACCTCTGTACTGCCTCTAATCTCTCCAATATTCCCTTTCCTCTATCTGACCACCATCTGCTGACTTTTGACATTGGCATACCTAAGACCCAATTGACACCACCGTCTGTACATCACTCTCACAGAAACCTCCAATGTCTTGACCTAGAGCATTTCTCCACTAATCTCCAAACTCTCCTTTTACCTATCTCAAACCTCACCTGTCCTAGTTCTGCAACCTCCTTCTACAATTCCACCGTCTCCTCTTAACTAGACATCATGGCACCTTGTACATTTAAACGCTGCAGGCCCCCCCAACAACAACCCTGGCACACCAAGCTCACTCGATACCTCCAAAAATGCTCCAGAACTGCTGAACGCTGTTGGAGAAAGTCGCACTGTGCATCTGACTTTCTCCACTATAAATTTATGCTGAGCTCATACAGCTTGGCTCTTTCCTCTGCAAAAGTTAATTACTTCAATATCCTCATAACCACACTCTCCCGCGAACTCAAACGACTATTTCCCACATTTAACTCTCTTCTTCGCCCTGCTGTTCCTCCTCCACCTACTAACTTGACCGCCTCAGATTTTGCAACTCACTTCACTGACAAGATCTCTACAATCAGAGAAGAGATATCTCATCTTTCTTCTTCCTCTTACAATACTTCCCCTAACTTCACTCCCTCTGCTGTTCTATGTTCATTCGCACCCGCTACATTTGAAGAAGTTTCTGCTCTGCTCCAGTCCTCCCGCCCCACCACCTGCTCCCTAGATCCAATTCCCTCGCATCTCATCCGTACTCTATCTTCTTCTCTTTCTCCACCTCTCACTAAAATCCTCAATCTCTCTCTCTCCTCTGGTATATTTCCATTGCCCTTCAAACATGCAAACGTAACCTCAATTCTAAAGAAGCCCAATCTTGACCCTAACTCCCCATCCAACTATCGTCCTATCTCGCTACTGCCTTTTGCATCCAAGAACCTTGAAAAAATTGTGTATGCAAGATTGACAGACTTCCTCGAGTCCAACTCTCTGCTAGACCCGCTTCAGTCTGGTTTCCGCGCTAAGCACTCTGTGGAAACGGCACTGACCAAAGTATCCAATGATCTACTCGCTGCAAAATCTCATGGTCACTACTCTATCCTAATTCTCCTTGACCTGTCTGCGGCCTTTGACACTGTTGATCATCAACAGCTTCTTCTCATCCTCTGCAATATCGGTCTACAAGATACTGCTCTCTCCTGTTGCTCCTCCTACCTCTCCCAGCGCTCTTTCAGTGTTTCTTTCTCTGGCTCTGCTTCTTCTCCCCAACTCCTCTATGTTGGTGTCCCCCAAGGTTCAGTCCTTGGTTCCCTACTGTTCTCTATTTTTACTGCCTCCCTTGGTAAACTCATTAGCTCCTTTGGCTTCCAATATCATTTCTATGCAGATGACACGCAAATCTACCTGTCCTCTCCTGATGTCTCCCCGTCCCTCTTGACTAGTGTCTCTGACTGCCTCTCTGCTGTTTCTAACTGGATGGCTGCCCACTTCCTTAAACTAAACTTGATCAAAACTGAAATTCTGGTCTTTCCTCCCTCAAGTGTTGTTACTCCTGTGTCTGTCTCCCTCCAAGTCAACGGTGCTACCATCATCTCCACCACGCAGGCTCGCTGCCTAGGTGTTCTCTTTGACTCCGACCTCTCCTTCAAGCCTCATGTTCAATCTATCGCCAAATCCTGTCATTTCCATCTAAAAAACATTGCGCGCATCTGCCCCTACTTAACGCCAGATGCGACTAAGGTGTTGGTCAATTCCACTGTCCTTTCTCGCCTTGACTACTGTAATCCACTTCTCAGTGGTCTTACGTGCTCCCAACTAGCGCCGTTACAGTCCATAATGAATGCGGCGGCAAGGCTCATCTTCCTTTCCGCCCGCACCTCCCATGCCTCACCCGTCAATCCCTACACTGGCTTCCTATAAAATATAGAGCTCAATTTAAAATTCTGGTTCTTGCTTTCAAATCGCTACATAATGCTGCTCCCACCTATCTATCCTCCCTTATACAAAAGTATGTCCCTTATGATCTGCTGAAGACTTACGTCTATCTTCTGTCCGTACTCCCACCTCTGATGCTCGCCTTCAAGATTTTTTGAGGGTTGCATCGTTCCTGTGGAACACGCTTCCCTCCTCCGTTAGATGCTCACCCAGTCTCCATTCCTTCAAAAAATCGTTAAAAACCCACTTCTTCATAAAAGCGTGTCACTTAAACTGTTATTAGCTCCTGACTGATTCTTCTTCTGCAACTGTCATTAGTCTAATACTATCCTTACCTTTCTGTGTCATTTTACCCCACTCCCTATAGCATGTAAGCTCATTCAGCAGGGCCCTCAACCCCTCTGTTCCTGTGTGTCCAACTTGTCTGGTTACAACTACATGTCTGTTCGTCCACCTATTGTAAAGCGCTGCGGAATTTGACGGCGCTCTATAAATATAATAATAATAATAATAATAATAATAATTCTTGGCTAGGGATCTTAAAAGTTATAACACAACCATACGTATTGTCTTTGGCAGGCATATGAATACATCTCATTCATTGCTTTTCAAATAATGGATTGATATATTGATTTTCATGAATACAGTTTGTTAACTCAGACCTGTCACCTGTTAAAACATTATTCATTAGAAGAAGCAGAAATTTGCTTAGCTCAATGAAGAGGTCTGGATGTCAGGTCCCTCTAGGGTTAACCCTGCCTGATGTAAACATAGCAGTTTCTGAGAAACTGCTATGTTTACATCTGGGGATAAGCCAGCCTCTAGTGGCTGTCTTCCGCACAGCCACTAGAGGCGCATCGGCAATGATTGAGGCATATTATGCCTCAATCACGCAGAGCGTCCATAGGAAAGCATTGAAAAATGCTTTCCTACAGACACTTTGAATGCGTGCGTGGCAGTGCCGCGCATGCGCATTCGGCGCCGGTGACATCAGACAAGGATGCTGATGTCGGCAGGGGAGGAGAGCTAAGGGAACCCGGTGGGGGAAAAGGGTGAGTAGATGAAGGGGTTTTAACCCCTTCAGCTACTTTCAGCGCTGCGGGAGGGGGACCCTGAGGGTGGGGGGGGCACCCTCAGGGTACTATAGTGTCAGGAAAACCAAGTGGTTTTCCTGACACTATAGTGTCCCTTTAATGCTTCAAATGTGCAATTTAGTTATTTATAACCACATTAAGTTTTGTATATAGCTTTAGTACCTCTATTTATTACTTCTCATTTATTATATGAATAGTTAAGGGGTTATTTTAAGCACTGTTAAGTCTTCAGCTATTTTAAGTGGTCATGGTGCCTGGAACGCTGCTCATATAAAGTTTAATCCCTTGGCTGGTTGAGGTGTAACTAGGTGGAGCTATAGTTTGTACTAGCTAATGTAAATTCTGTGCATTTTTTTTACAGTGTGTCATTCATTGGCTGAGAGTGGTTACCTGATGCTCTCAGCCAATGAATGGTGGAATGGTAACTGCATCTACTTCCAGCTTGTAAAACTCTGTAGAGGACCAAAGCTCATCACCAATGAAGAAAGGAGACCAGGAACACGTGGCACAGTTAAGGGTGTAAGACCATAACAAAACTGTTTCTCAGTTCCCATAACCACGAAACAAGCTTTACATAGAATTGCAAGGCACAGTATTATGGATTAAGAAACATCCGTTACTAAAAATGATGTGGATGGATACTTTCAACATGCTCATCTACCAAAATGGAGGCTAAATATGCTTGATAATTATAGATTTGATTTCTCAGTTGACAAAGGATGTCTCTTAATTGAGTAAGATATCAACGTTTCTCTGCACAATTCTTCTGGTAGTCACTGTGTAGTAAACCTGTGCATTTGGTTTCAAAGGAATCATCAGTTGGAATTTTGGGCAACTGCTAAATTGTGCAAATCTTCAAACTCCGATTGACCATATGACCAAATCATGAAACAATTGTAACAAGGAATGAACAAGCTATTTAATTTATTTTGGAACTCAGAGTTCTCTTTGGGGTGCAAAAAAAAAAAGACGATTGATAGAAAAAAATATGATTGTTATGGGGACAGACACTAAATTTGATTATATTTATAGATCCAGTGAGAAGCGACCAACAGAGGGGGAAAAAGGAGGATCAGTAAAATTATTTACAATTTAGTATATAATATATAAATGAAGATTTTGCACTGTTTACTCTTCTCACTAAGTGGGTGAACCAAAGGATGTGAAAATCAATAAACTGCTAAATGTATACCTAATATTTTTCAATGGAGAATGCATCCAGGCACACCCTCTTTAGACCTTTTCCCACATTCATCCTTACTATACCTTACTATTGAACCCTCCTGGCTGTCAGTTAAAAAAACTTTTATAAAAGTCAGGCAACATACTAGATCAAAGCCATGCAACAATATAAATAATTTGTTTCCCTATTATTTCATTAATTTTTTTCTCACAACTGCACTTGTGTGGAACCTTAGTTTACTACTGACATTTGAGGCATGCATCAAACACTTTACCTATGAACAATAATTGGATGAGTTAAGATGATAGTAAAGTATAAAAAAAAAATCAGCCAAACAAAAAAAATTGCAAATTAACTATTCCTGTACAATTTTCAACAGAAACACATTAGTCTCGCGTAAACTTCTCTTTGGGGAAATGTGCTGCTGTTTTTTCTAATCAAGTGTCTTAAGGTTTTCATTTAAAATTGGGAAAATACAGCATAGAATGAAGGTGCAAGTCCAATTATTTTCATTTTTGGAAACAAAAAACATGTATCATGCACAAAAGAAAAGAAAAATATTTTATGATAGTTGGCTATCATAAATGTGTTGTCTAACAAATTATTTTTTTGTACCTTGAATTCCTGGAGTTATCCTTTAGGCTTTAGAAAAAATATCCTGCATAGTTTTTTTATGCTCGAATGATTAATGCAAAGATAGCTTTAGGTGAAAGCCTGGCTTTTAAAATCAGCTTGGCTCACAATATAAATGTATCACATTTTATATGCAAACAGTGTTTAATATATCAGTTATATATGGATAGTATATCATAGACCATATTGTCAGTTAGTAACTGCTGTTTTTCACAGCAATGGGAAGAATTGACTTTTGCAAGATGCAGGAAACCTGCTGTGATAACAAAGACGAGAAAAGTCAGCGAAAAGCTTCTGATTAAGGAACAGCAGACACAGCCTTTAACTCCCACACAGGTTACAGCTTATACCCATGATACAAAAACAGGGGGTACTGAGCCACGATTTTAACAGAACGTATCTGTCAATGCGCCTCTCTTTTGAAAGTGACTGCAACATTGTGATTCTCCTTCTTACATGACTAAACATCTCATTATGCGGTGATTCTTGAACAGAAATGTTTCTACAAATAGATAATAGTCAATTGGCTGAGCAGTAGAAAGACCAAGACTGTTAGAAACACAAACGTACAAAAAAGCCAAAAGCCAAGCAAGATGAAACATATTTCAAACGAAAAAACCTAAACAGTCACAATATGTGTCCCTTAGTTGAAAATGGAAAATAAATATCCAAATTATTCTGTAAACTCATGTATAGAATATTATTATATGCACTTCTGCATACATTGTAAAGAAAAATATAACAAATCAAAGTTTTGATATGAGATTCCTCACCTTAAATCATGTCTTGGGAGAAAAGATAATTTTGTATTTTCTGTGGATAAGTGACAGATATTATCACACTCAATGCCAAATAATTTTAGGAAAATATATGAGAAGCATTAATTTGAAACAAGGAGTTTCACAGCAAATTTTTATGAGTAGCGACAAGTACTTTTAACACTGACAGTTTATTACAGCTTTTAACCAACAACGTTGTAAACAATCAACAGAAACACAAATAGTAATATAGTTAGCTGAATACAATGTTGTTGTTGTTTTTGTCCCAATATCACCCTGCATAACAGGATTAAGGGGTTTGCTGTAAACTAGACTCTGGGGGATGCATAGCCAGCCCCAAACACAAGTATGTGTTCAGCTGCAGTAGGCATCTGACCAGGCACTATTTGACATCAATAACATAGTTACTATGTGAGCATCATGAGTGGTTATGCCATTATATGTTCTCACTGATTTCTCCAAAGTATAGCTGTATTGCATTATATGCTTGAACAACCACAATGCAACAATGAAAGCATCTGATTTGGTAAATATTACTGTGAAGTTGGAACTGCTCAAGCAACTAAATAAAAGGCTCACATTGAACAACCACAATAGTATTCCCTTTCAAGTAACAGACCAGGAGCTTGTAGAACATCAAGTGGAGTTAAAGGAACACTTTGGTCATCATAACAACTTTATCTAAATCAAGTTGTAATAGTGTCAGGAGGCCCCTGGGCTCTCTTACCTTCAGATGTCAGAAGCCAGATGTCGCTGGAGTACCTGGTGGTCCGGCACTGGAGGCAGCCTTTGGGGTTAAACCATTCAAGAATGGTTTACCACTTAAGGTAAGAGAGCACCCAGGGCCTACTCATACCGTAACAGCTTCATTTAGATTAAGTTGTTATAGAGACCAGAGTGTTCCTTTAAAGACCAGAGTAGAGTGTTTTTTTACATTTTATTTCTTATTTAAATTTTAGTAAAAAATTAAATTGTTAAAATGCGTAATGAGTCCATTAAGTTTTGATTATGGTTCATAGGGAAGAAATACCATATTAAATTGGGATCTGTCAATATTCAAAAAGAAGCAAAAATCTAAGCCATTCTTTGCTGCTTCAATTTCATCTGCTTGCTCCTTAGACT